CAATACACCACTCATCAATACACCACTCATCATACACCACTCATCATTCACCACTCATCATACACCACACCACTCATCATACACCACTCATTATACCCCACTCATCATACACTACTCATCATACACCAGTGATCATACACCACTCATCATACACCACTCATCATCCAGTTAGCTGTAGTTTCAAGAGCTCTAGCTCCAGTTAGCTCTAGTTGCAAGAGCTCTAGCTCCAGGTAGCTCTAGTTTCAAAAGCTCTAGCTCCAGGTAGCTTTAGTTTCAAGAGCTCTAGCTCCAGTCAGCTCTAGTTTCAATAGCTCTAGCTCCAGTTTACGTGGCAGGCGCAGCACTTTGTGAACCTCCATGCGCAGATTTCGTGGCAGGTGCAGCACGTTGTGAACCTCCATGTGCAGATTTCGTGGCAGGCACAGCACTGTGTGAACCTCGATGTGCAGATTGCGTGGCAGGCGCAGTAGTATCTGGGGAGCTGGAAGATGAGAACTGGCGACTTTGTAGTACAAGTGTAGTACGCGGAGTATCTGGGGAGCTGGAAGATGAGAACTGGCGACATGGCAGTACAACTTTAGTACGCGGAGTATCTGGGGAGCTGGAAGATGAGAACTGGCGACTTTGTAGTGCAAGTGTAGTACGCGGAGTACCTGGGGAGCTGGAAGATGAGAACCGGTGACTTGGTAGTACAACTTTAGTACGCGGAGTATCTGGGGAGCTGGAAGATGAGAACTGGCGACTGTGTCGTACAACTTTAGTGCGCGGAGTAGCTGGGGAGCTGGAAGATGAGAACTGGCGACTTTGTAGTGCAACTTTAGTACGCGGCTGAGTCATCTCTATTCTGTGTTTTGCAAAATGCATGAACAACGTTTTTTCCTGCGAGACAGTTGACGGTGGTTGCTTCGCTTTCGCTCCATTGGTCGGTTCCAACTTGTTTTGTCAAAGAACATTGCAGCTCGGCGAATCAGCCTGCCACATGCCCATTTCCTATAGGTTTATTCTTTTGGAAACTTCCGCTGCCGGCTTGCCTGGGAACTACTTGTAGCTTTTTGTTACTAGAAAGCGTACTTTTGGCATGAGCTTTGGTGAGATCGACACTGCTTTGCGCCATCCACGCCTCTTTCAACGTCTCCTTCCCATCCACCAGCAGCACTGCCCGCCGGCAGCGTGAAGCCCACATAAATACAGGTGGTTCCTTTGAAGCAAAGCTCTGTGGTGTAACCTTGAAGCTGCTTGAATACTGTACAAAGAACGGTCTCCAAACTCAAATTCTTATTTTTTGAAGAACTCCAGACCTTTCTTGTTTAAATGAAGCTTTCATTTTGAGCACCTTGTGTAGAGGTTTGAGGTTTGTCTGCACGCTTGTTCCATCTTGAAATGGCCTTAGAAGCATCAACTATTCCAACGAGTATCTTTCATCAAGCAGAATTTAATCTAACATGAATGGCCTCCAACCTAATAGCGATGGCCTCCAACCTAGTAGGTTGGGGTTTCTGAGCATTCAATTCGCAAAATCAAGCCTTCACATCTACTCTCTCAGCTGATGTTGGGGGGTTGGAAACCTCTGGGAAGCCCAGGAATTTCTCTTGTGTTTTGCGTGTTGTGGCTGTTTTCTCTTGTACTTGTTGGCTGAGTTCTGACAGTGCGCAGTCAGCAAGCTAGACTTGTCGAAGTCTTTATGAGCCAAACAAGAAGCGGAGTGCTGCTTGCAGCCGAATGCCACCCAGCACGTTCATGACAAGCTTCAGCTTGCTTCACATAGTTCTACATCAAACAAACAACTCTGAAACGCATTGATTTGCCACAAAGTTGCAAGGACTTGCCGGAAAGCGCCAACCGTTTGAAGCTTTTGCTATGCCTGGTGCAGCAAACGCAGCGCTTTTCCTTCGAAAACCGCAGCGCTTTGGTTCTGTCCGTGCGAGGCCTGGTCCAAACGGAAGGGAGAGGGTGCAGGGAAGATTGTCGGCCCCTACCGCCTTCCTTTGGATGCATAGAACTAGCAAAGCCAGGAAGAGTAAGGGAGCAAAGGAGGCCGTGAATCACGGCGACGTACAAATCTACATTCCACAGAGTAAGGGAGTAAGTGGGACTTTTCTGTATCGACCAAGTTGATACGGTCCTGTGATTATCTACTTCCAGTCAAACACTACAATGATTGGACAACAAATGATGACATCAACCTGGGTACCTTTCGCAAGAAAGTCCTCTTTGAGGCTCCTTCTCTGGAAATTCGCTGTAGTTGCTTGTTCCAACCCACGGGAATTTACCCATTTTGCCGACCTCAATTGTCCAGGTTGGATGCCACTATCACAGTTCATCTCACAAAACAGAAACAAAACGCAAAACAACTCAAAACTTTAGATGTTTTTAAAGGAACGACTTTTTGGACACTAAAGTATCTCACCCCACATTCACCCCACCTTAGCCTTCATGTCGAGAAGAAATACACTTGCTTTCTGCAAACAAAGGTAGATCATTCATTGGTTTTCATTTCCCACTTAGACAACGCACAAGTAGGTGACCACTGTACCGTCATGAAAGCAGGTAACAACTAGCAACTGCTTCATCAACGTCAAAAATGATCTAAGTAGGCTTGCTTGCTCGTCATCCTTGCAAACCACTTTTTCAAAGAGATACGATCTTATTTCTTGTTTTCTTTGTTTTTGGACCTTGGGACTTTCTTTTTTGCAATCTTTTCTTTGCTGTTTCTTTTTTCAATTTTCCTCTTTACCTCCATCTGCCTACCCAGTTCCCCCTCGCAAGACTGGACCTCACTTTCCAGCGTTGGAGTTGGGGCCGCGCTTGGGGCCACTCTTCACCACCTCATGTTGAGTGCTTCCGCGCCAACTGATCCCCCCCGAACGTAAAGGCTACGCGGGTTTACGCAAAGGGGTTTTAAGGGTCACAATTTCTACTTCCCTGTCCGTCGGAGCAATTCCCTTGGCTAGGAGTCTTCACTTCATTGATAGCAGAACTTTGAAGTTCCCCTGGGAGTTTTCGGCTTTTCACTCAATGATCCATGTTGAGGTGGGCTATAGAAACGGGGCCAAGGTGCTATTCTTAACAAAATTCACCAGTCTTGCAGGACTTGTGATGCGTCCTCCGTAAATCATCATGAGTCCACGGGGCTGCTAATGGGGCTCATCGTCATATAACCTGGATCACATCACTTAACTGGTCAAAACACATAAGAGGGATAAAACCCGATCCGCGGTGTGAATACTCCGCACTCTGGGGGTAGCTGCAGACCAAACGGTTAATGTGCGAAACATCCACCCGAACTGGACCCTTCATTTAGATCCCCTCAGATCCTTCGTTAGATGGCCTCCAACTTACTAGCGATAGCAATGGCCTCCAACCTAATAGCAGTGGCCTCCAACCTAATACCAGTAGCCCCTAGCCTACTAGCAATGGCCCCCAACTTGTCAGCGATGGCCTCCAACCTAATAGCAATGGCCTCCTAGCAATGGCCTCCAACCCAATCGCAATGGCCTCCAACCCATCAGCAATGGCCTCCAACCAAATAGCACTGGCCTCCAACCTACTAGCGATGGCCTCCAACCTACTAGCGATGGCC